AGCATTTGTGAAGCCACAACACGCACACCCTTGAGGCGGATGGGCTACAACGGCAGAAGACCCCACCGGGTACCACTCATCTCCACTACAAATAGGAAAAAGAGGCTACAATTTGCAAGAGCTCACCAAAATTGGACAGTTGAAGACTGGAAAAATGTTGCCTGGTCTGATGAGTCTCGATTTCTGTTGAGACATTCAGATGGTAGTGTCAGAATTTGGCGTAAACAGAATGAGAACATGGATCCATCATGCCTTGTTACCACTGTGCAGGCTGGTGGTGGTGGTGTAATGGTGTTGGGGATGTTTTCTTGGCACACTTTAGGCCCCTTAGTGCCAATTGGGCATCGTTTAAATGCCACGGCCTACCTGAGCATTGTTTCTGACCATGTCCATCCCTTTATGGCCACCATGTACCCATCCTCTGATGGCTACTTCCAGCAGGATAATGCACCATGTCACAAAGGTCGAATCATTTCAGATTCAACATGACATCATGACTTTGCGTAAACATACACGCCACTTTCAATTCAAGTGGCGTGTAATCTATACGCATTTTGAGCTATCCGCGTGTGTGTCCACGCCGAAATCTTTTGCGTGTATGTCTACGCCATTAAACGTCCGAGTGATTCCGCGTGTATGTGTACGCCGTTAAATGTCCGAGCGAAACGAAGCAAAATCTATATCTACATCTGTGGAGCGATATTTCTTTTCCTAGGATGGTAGGAGAAGACTCATAAATGGTATTAACCCCAGTGACGGGTAGGTTTAGGGACGGGGTTGGGGTAGGTCATATATTTATATATATATAACACAGTAATATAACGTTAAGTCAAAGGCGTTGATAAACACGCTGAAAAGCGATTATGCGTGTTGATAGCACGCCAAAAATGGAAATACGAATTGGCGTGTCATACATACGCCATTTCATGAGATCAGTCTGTCAGATTGGTTTCTTGAACATGACAATGAGTTCACTGTACTAAAATGGCCCCCACAGTCACCAGATCTCAACCCAATAGAGCATCTTTGGGATGTGGTGGAACGGGAGCTTCGTGCCCTGGATGTGCATCCCACAAATCTCCATCAACTGCAAGATGCTATCCTATCAATATGGGCCAATATTTCTAAAGAATGCTTTCAGCACCTTGTTGAATCAATGCCACGTAGAATTAAGGCAGTTCTGAAGGCGAAAGGGGGTCAAACATAGTATTAGTATGGTGTTCCTAATAATCCTTTAGGTGAGTGTATATATCCCATAATATCCCAGTGCTGGAAAGATTTTTTAACGATGAAGACAAGTGTCCTGATTTTTGGCTGAGCAGGGAGGCCCTGACAGTGCTACTGGATCTGTTGAAAAGTGAATGGCAACATGGATGGGGTGCCACAATCTAGACCCTGGTCTCTCTTTTCTGGCTGGCGTGTGGTACATCATACCACACGCCAGCCAGAAACTGGGCTCCAGAGCACTTGATATACCTCGTTCCACTGTCCATTCGCCACCAAGTCATTCAGTTCCCTAACACCCCAGAAGACCTGGAGGCAGTTTGCCACGGGTTTGCAGGGCTGGCAAGACACAGGGCTTTCGTGAAAGCTGCAGGAGCAATCGACGGCTGCCATGTCCGCATCAAGCCTCCAAGTGGGCCTGTTCCCGTCCATCATCCTGCAGGCTGTTTGTGACCATCAGGGCCACTTCATTGACACCTACGTGGGCTGGCCTGGGTCAGTGCATGACGCACGAGTGCTCCTGTACTGGAGGTCACACTAGGTGACACCTCCTCCGGGGCACTTTATCCTCGCAGACGGAGGGTACCCATGCCTCCAACACCCACTCCCCCTCATCACTTCCTACAAGAGGCTAGTACAAGGTGTGGGAGCCCAGCGCTTTAATCTCCATCATCCCAGGGCACGCTCCATTATAGAGCGTGCTTTTGGGATGATGAAGACCAGGATCAGAGCCATCTTCCTGCAAGTGCTGGAAATGCACCACACCTTTGTACCTCACGTAAGTGAATTCAAAAGACATTTTAAAGATACAGAAAAGAATAAAGTAAATAATTTTTTTGAAGATATATATATATTATATATATATAATTTCAGGTCATAACAGCCTGTGCCATCCTCCACAACATCTGTCTTGGGGTCTGTGACATCATGGCCCCGGAGGATGAGCACGAGGAGGATGATGCAGAGGATGAGGGAGCATGGTTTGGAGACAGTCAGCGGTGCTCCCTGGGGAGACAAGCTGACTGCAGAGGTGTGTGCCCTGGAGGAGGTTCCCATTGACCATAACTATTTGTAACAGGCAAGTAAGAGAATTGTATAGCTACAATGCCTAAGACAAATATTGAATGGACAATAGAACGGTTTTGCATGTTGAAATATTTTATGGTATGGTTTGAGGATGTGAGTTAATTTATTTTACTCTTTCTGAAAAGTGACATGGCAGCCGTCGATTGAGTCAGCCCTGCAAACCTTTTGGTGGCCAACCCAGTGGACAGTTGAAATATGCACTCAAACACTCAGAGACCATCCCAGATGATGTCCCACCATCAGGAGGCATTACCAGCATCTCTTATTGTGGAGCCCATCCTGGTCTCCCTGCTCAGCTGAATAAAAGTCTACATCATTCTTTCTTATTTTATGTACTGTAAATTTAAATGTTTATGTAGATTTTGATATTTTTAACATATATAGTTGGAAAAAGTACTTTTATGTAGCCTATAGAACAAATGATTTTCATTTACCAATTTTATTTGGAAAAAAAAAGGTATAGAAGAATTTGTTTCATGTAGAAATTATACCTGTCATTACAAAAATAAACAATGTCCAGAACAATTAATCCTCTATTATTTAGACATTTAAAGTTGCATAAAAATAGATAATGTACAGAAATTGTTTTTTTTTCTTTTAAAAAATAAAAGTGAAAAAAAGTTAAACAAAAATTATAGAAAAAATATATATTTTTCAATCATTCTCTCAAGAAGAGAAAACAGCTTGTCCATCCTGTCCCTACTCTCCTGTGCTCTCCTGGCCTCTACCTCCCTCTGCAGTTCCATGTCTTCTCTAATCAAGTCCAAAAACTCGTCCTCTCTGTCTCGCCACCTTAGTGCTAGTGCTGGTGCTGGCTAAAGTATTTAAGTAGCCTATACTTTGAAAAATGCCAAAATTTCTTATAGTGTGTGTGCTACCTGTTAAAAATGTGCTTTCACCTGAGGCTATTTAAAATTCCACAGGTGCAACAGGCAAAAAGTCAAGTTAAAGGGCTTTTTCCACCCCAGATGGCATCACTGAGTTCATTCGAATCGTCTAATGGAGATCTATCCCCGGTGTGAATTTGAAGTGTTTTAGTTGAGTTTTCTTTGAGATGTGAGCAAAAAACCACCGGGAGCGATTCAAAATCACGGCCCCCATCAGCGCCTTATCCCGGTGAACTTTCGCTCCTAACTTGAGACTTTCTGATTTGAGTGATCCATCAAGCTAGAATGTGTGGTGAACGTGATTTCACCAAGTACCACATGTTCCTGGATCAACATATTTGTTGATCCTAGATCAACTTTACAATCAACCAATCAGATTTGAGGGACAAGTTTACAGTTTATGTCAAGTTTAGGCTTAGAACCAGGGTGAAGTACTTAAATATCAGTGTTATTCACCTATCATTACCCTCTGATTTTAGGGAAAAGTTATGCGTAGGGTTAGGTTTAGGGGTAGGGATTGGGTAAGGACTACATTTTGGGATAGGAATGTTGATCCAGGATAAACAAAATATGTTGATCCAGGACCATGTCTTACTTGGCAAAATCACAGTGACCCTAAATGCGTCTAACCTGTGAATTCTTGGTAAAAAAAAAATGCAGTTCTATTCTAGGCTGTTGGCATGCATTTTACTCTTGATGGAGTGGTAGAGGTGCGCTCAGAGCAAGAGTGAAAGTTGCTCAGACTTTAAAAAAAAAACCTCAGAGCCAAGTTTTTTTTTAAAAGACACCAGGCTTTTAACACTTGTTTGTCTATTTAAGTAAATTAAAACAATACTTACATTTAAAAGTGTAGGATTCTGCCGCAACAGAGTCACCCGCCATCCTGTAGTCACCGGCACACAATGAATTCTAGGGTAGGGTAGGCCAAGAGAAGCGGAGGGCGCATTTCAAGTCACTTTCGAATTGCAGCATCTTTCGTTGCGCCGCGATGATGCAATCGGCCTTACAATGCGACCTTAGAAGTGCACAGCCTTCACATTGGGACACAGCTAGTCTGTTATTTACCTGTTTCCATTGTACCACCAGCCTTACATGGCTGCGATTGGGTTTACTAGCATCGTGTGTGGGTGTATCTTTGACAATTGCTTCCTGTTTCCTCTCACTGTGTCCTTTTGCAAAGAGGCTAAATATCTATATGACATGTTACCAACTTTATGTATAAATTAATATGGATGCTTTTTTTCTAGGAGTGAATAACAAAGTTTCACCACACCACATGATGGGCAGCCCATTGCAGCCAAACAAGAAGCTAGACAGGAAGAGTAACTGGCTTTGCCATTAGACTTACTATGATGAGAAAAATCTTCTAGGCAGCCATGTGAAAAATGTGTGTGTGCATAACTGCATGTGTTTGTGTACATACTTAGCAAACGTTTAGGCACAGAAATGTCCCCAGCAGTGAGCTAAATCTGACAAAAGCTTCCCATGGGTGACATCCGGGGATGTCCTCATTTGGGGAAACAAACAAACAAACAAAAACAAATACAGCATATCATTTTAACAATATCCAATAATATATAAATATATACTTAACATGTCAAAAGTGTTTAGGGGTACAGTTATAATGGGCATTAGTCTGTAGTACTTATACTTCTATTGGTTTTATATACAGTTTTATATAACTATATGATATATCTACACTGTCAAAAAGTCTCACTCACTTTATCACTCTCTCTCTCTTTCTCGCTCTCTCTCTCTCTCTCTCTCTCTCTCTCTCTCTCTGTATGTGTGTGTGGCTAAAAGTGCAGACACACTTCACTGTGGATACAGTTTGCGGAAGGCATTAAGACATTTATTGATTCCTCTTTTGAGCTTTGCTTACAAGTCTCCAAAACTCTTCTCCAAAACAATTTTCCTGGTAAGTGTTTGTTCTTGCATACATATATTTTACATTTTTGAGTGTGTAAGTCTGTGTCTGTTTCCCCTATTCCCCCAAATGAATTTTAGTGCGTCAAAATTATTGTCATTATAAGCATAATGATATACATTGGCTTTGTTATTTGTTATTTCCGTGTATTTTTCCTACTTCTTCTGTTTGCATGTTATAGAAATGGGGTTTCAACAGAATTAAACATAACAGGAGATCCTTTGTAAAGTTCAGGGTAAATTGTTGGTGCATTTTGCCGCATTTCCACCGCAGGAACTAGGGACTTTGGGGTGGTACTCTGTGTTTCCACCGCAGGAACCAGGGTCTAAATGAAGTTCCGGGTAAATATCTCCCCCTCCGAAGGTCCCTGCTTGCGAGGTAGAACTTTTTCAACATTCAGGAACTTTCAGGGGTGGGACTTGGGCACTGAACATGCTGATTGGTTAAGTTCATGCTGCATTTTGATTGGTTGACTCCACGCAGCATTTTATTTCAACCACCATTTTTTTAAATCTGTTGCGGTGCGTGCAGTAACAGTTGTTTGATATTCGAATCAACAATGAAGTTTGAAAAATACGACCGATGGACTGACAACGAGGTTCAGGCTTTATTAAGCTCAAATTCAGAGGATGAAGTCCAGCGGGAACTGTTAAGTAGCGTGCAGTCCTACGTCACCGGACTAATTTGCCTAGTCTTCAGTCTTCACGGTACTTTAGACCGCGGTGGAAATGCAGACAGCAACAGGTCTGGGGAAGAAAAAGTTCCTGGGACAAATTGTTTCAGGTAATTTCGGTGGAAACGCGGCTTTAGTGTGTCTCATCATAACTCATGTATTCCACCAGTGATCATGAATATTTACACCATTATATTGGTAAAGTTTGCTATTTATAGCAGTAAGTGGATATTACTTGAATTTTCCAATACTGCGTTCAGCTCTTTTGATGTTTTTCCTTCCAGGCATCAAGATGAACGTGAGTCAGGTGAACACTTCACTCAAGTGTGATCGGGACACTAGCGTAACGTCCATACTCTTCCCTTGTCTGTACACTGCTCTTTTCCTGGCTGCTTTTGTGTTGAACACTCTGGCTGCCTGGATCTTCTTCCAAATCCGCAGCAGCTCAACATTCGTTGTGTACCTGAAGAACGTAGTCGTGGCTGATCTATTGATGACCCTTACCGTGCCTGTAAAGGCATTGACTGATGCGGGGTTGGGTTCCTGGCATCTCCGGGCTTTTCATTGCCGATACTCAGCTGTACTCTTCTATACCACTATGTACATCAGCATCCTTCTTCTCGGATTCATTAGCTTGGACCGATACCTAAAGATTGTGCATCCATTCGGGAAATGTGCTTTTCAGAGGGTCGGGGTGGGTCGGATCCTGTGTGCAGTTATCTGGGTGGTTATGCTGTCTTTGGCTCTGCCCAATGTCATCCTGAGTAACCAAATGCCACAGATCTCCGCTGGTGGAAGGCTGCGATGCACCAGGATGAAGGGGGTGATGGGACTCATGTGGCATGAAGGTTTTAACTACTTCTGCCAGATTGTTTTTTGGGGTACGTTGGCGCTCATGGTTGTCTGCTATACCTTCATCAGCAGGAAAGTGTTTGAATCGTACCGTGCATCACAAAGCAGCAGTGACGCAGCCAGTAAACAGACCACATCTAAGGTATAGTGCACTTTCTTCAACCTCCCTTATGCAAACCTGAGAGTGCAGACACTGAAGTTATATTTAAGGCAGTGTTTCCCAATTTTGTTCCTGGAGGCACACCAACAGTGCACATTTTGGATGTCTACCATATCTGACCCATCCATTTCCGTCGTGAACTCGCTAACAATGAGCTGATGAGTTGAATCAGGTGTGTTTGATTAGGAGGAGTTAAAAAATCTGTACTGCCTGGTGTGCCTCCAGGATGAGGGATGGGAAACACAATGTCAAAGAATTGGAAATGATATGGATTAATAGAAACATAAGCTGCATCTGAACTTGCATACTGTCTAGTACAGGGCTGGGCAACTCAGACCCTCAAGACACACTTTCCTGCAAAGTTTAGCTGCAACCCTGTTCAAAACTCAACTGGCAATAACTTTCTAACAATCCTGAATATCTTGATTAGCTTGTTCAGGTGTATTTGATTAGGGTTGGAGTAGGCTTGTTCGACACTGGCGGTACTTTAATGTCATAAACGAATCGGACTGTGTAGCGCCGGTTCAAGGCGAACAAGCCTATTAACTCTGCAGGAAAGTGGATATCGAGGACCAGAGTTGCCCAGCCCTGATCTAGTAGTTTGGGGGCGGGTTTATCTAAAGTGGATTTTACTGCAGTAATAGACCAGTGCCCAGTACTGATTATCTCACAGACGTATTTGCCTGCTACAGGCCCTGCAATTTCAGCAATCCTATAAGATCACACCGTACGACATTGATCTAATGGGGATGATTACGATGATGACACCTATTAAATCTTAAGTTAGTGTTGATCAATATGCCATTTCATATTGCAATTATATTGGCTAGTCAGTAGACATAGGTCGTAGCAGCAAACACTGTGAGATGATCATGCTAAATTTCTGACCTTGTCAGAAAATTATCGGAGGCTATCTTTGGTCGCAAGACCAACTTTGAAGCTCTCTCACTGTACACCTTGTGAGAGAGACACATTGAAGGAGGGACCCGAGCCAGAGAGACCAGAATGTCATTAGTTGGGTTTCAATCCAAATGGGTTTTAATCAAGCTTCAGTGTAGTTAGCAGGGTTATATAAATAGTTTGTACTAACTGCTTTTCCCCCCAAAAGGAAGCTCACTGTAGTTGAATTGAATTCTTTATTTTGTCAAGCTCCAGTTTCTGGTGTGCTGCATGCTAACCAGTGCTAAACTCTCCTCTCCTCCACAGGTGTTTGTGGTAGTGGGTGTTTTCTTTGTATGCTTTGCACCCTTCCACCTGGCCCGAATCCCTTACACCCTCAGTCAGACCCGGAATACTTCTGCCCAGTGCTGGGCCCAAAACCAGCTGTACTTTGCCAAAGAGATCACACTCTGGATATCATCTACTAACGTGTGCCTGGACCCTCTCATCTATGTTTTTCTGTGTCGAGTCTTCCGCAAGAAGCTCACTGCCACACTGAGCCGCCGTCCGCTCCCACATGGGTCTCTGACAGAGACCTCCACCAGAATGGAGATGCCAATCAGAGGCCAGAGGCCATTGTGACACAAATACGGATTTAGGTTGTCGTTATGAAGTCCAAGAGTCCATGAAAATACACTGCAAATTTATTTTCTTAATCAGTTATTTTGTCCAGCACAGATATTTAAAAGTGTTTATAAACTTGTTTTAAAGATGTAGATATTTTCATTTGAATTTTTTTTTTTTTTTTTTTTTTTTTGCAGTGTATGGGGGAGCAGAAATAACAACATTAAAAAGACTCCCTTATCTTACCAGTACCACCTTGTCTTTCTTGCGATAAAACTGTTAAAAAGTAAAAAGAACATTTGGTTACACTTTACATTAAGGTTCCATTTGTAAAAACTGGTTAAATCACGCGACAAACGTATTGCTCATTGTTAGTTTATGAATTAACGGTAACATTTTACAAAAAGGTTCATTAGTTTACATTAGTTAACAACATTAGCTAAAACTATGAACTAAAAAATTAACTGCACTTATACAACATTTATTAATCTTTGTTAATGTTAATTTCAACATTTACTAATACTTTATTAAAATCTTGGTAACATTAGTTAATGCACTGTGAACTAACAGTGAAGATAGTTAACTAACGTTAACAAAGTCTAACAAATACAGTAACAAATGTATTGCTCATGGTTGGTTCATGTTAGTTAATGCATTAACTAATGTTAGCTAATGAACCTTATAGTAAAGTGTTACCGAATTAACTAACGTTTCCTAATGCGATCTTATTGGAAAATGTCACTGAAAATGTTATAGTAAAATGTAACATTTTTGTGATGTACCAACCTTGAACGTCAGTTCATTGAAATTCAGTGTTAGATCAACATTGACAGGGTTATTTAAGTGTGACCTTATGTGTGCTTCATTATCAGAAACCACAGCAGTTTTTGTTTCCCTTCCAGTTATCTTGCCCTCACCATCTCCTCTTCCTGTTAAAAGCCTTTTTATTTGAGCAGTCAGTGTCAGCTTATTAAATGAATTGTTACAAGTAGGAGGAAATAAAAAAATATCTAGAATTTTTAAACAATGCATTATATTTATATAAGTATAATATATTTAATATATATTTATATTTCTAAGTAAAATACTTTTTGGGGTTAACTTTACTTGAATACAAATTAGGACTACCAGTAGAGTAAACTGAGCATTATTTTTTTGCTTTTTTTTTTACAGAATAAACAAGTTTTAATGTATATGGGTGATTCTCCAACTATGGTACTTTTTCTGTCCGTGACAGATATTAAAAAAAGTAAAAAACATTTCCACTTTTTTTTTTCACACTTACTACATGTGTAGGGGAACCTATATATAAAAAAATAATTATTCAATTCTGTTGTTTTATATAAAATAGGAGGCATTTTATATGCGTTTTTTACTATTTTGCCTCTGTCCCTAGGCCAGACTTTGGGTCTTCAACCTTATCTCACTTAAAATCTAATACTGATATAATTTTAAATTCAAACAGAAAATATGCATTATAACCCAATTCATTCAAATCTAATATTTTTTTATTTTTTTATTTTTTATTTGACATATTTTGAACATGTTGAACACTTGTCCCTTGGGTTCACTCTCATTTCCACACCTCTGCATTAAATGCAATCCCAGGCTCAGTGTTCTAGATTTGTATACTCAGTAACCATAGTAACTGACACTCCAGAGGACACCCCATGGCTGAATGAAAGCAGAGTCCCAGCAGATCTCCATAAATTGGAGATATATCAAGGTAAATATGAGAAGTACTGCGAGTATGTTTATTGTATGTCATTTCTGAACCGCTCATAATTCATTCCGACGGAAACATTTCTGTATTTTTACAATTTCATCAGGTGATATTTGAGATTATTTAATGCTAACTCTAAAACTAACACTAACAGGCTAGTCAAACATGAGATATTGGAGGGAAAGGGGGAAAATGTAATTTCCACAACCGTCTTTTCCACAACTGTCTCCATGGAAGTGATAAAGACAGGTTGGCTTGGCAAGGACATTGTCTGTGTTTAAAAGCAAAGTAGTTTGCCTATAGTACTAAAAATATAGTGTAAACACATACACTTTACATATGTGACCCTGGATCACAAAATCAGTCACATGTCACAAGGGTATATTTGTGGCAATAGCCAACAGCCATACAATAGTATGGGTCAAAATGATCAATTTTTCTTTTATGCCAAAAATCATTAGGATATTAAGTAAAGATCATGTTCCATGAAGATATTTTGTAAATTTACTACCGTAATTATATAAAACATTTATTTTTGTGAGTGAATGCAGCACACTCGAGAACAGAAATGGACAACTTTAAAGGAGATTTTCTCATTGTTTCTATTTATTTGCACCTTCAGATTCCAGATTTTCTAATAGTTGTATCTCGGCCAAATATTGTCCTATCCTAACAAACCATACATCAATGGAAAGCTTATTTATTCAGCTTTCATGTGATGTACAAACCCATGTGACTGGTTTTGTCATCCAGGGTCACATATAATGTCATAGAGAATGTTTTAAATTGAGATATTTTATTGTTTACAACTAAATCTGACATAGTCTCTCTGTTGTTCTTTAAGATGGCACCCAAAACATCAGCAGAGAAGTCCAGACTATTCAGGGAAAGACTAAAATCTGATCCAATTAAATATGCTGAGTTCCTAAGGAAAGACAGAGAAAGATATGAAAAGAAAAAACAGCAAGGACTTATTAAGTCTGTGAAAGAAATGTCAGTAAGCGACCAAAAAAAAATCAGAAGACAGTCGCGAACTGTACAAAGACACAGACGTAAGAAACATAAAATGGTATCAGCATGTGAGAGTTTCATGGCAGGGGCAACACCACCGCAATCACCAGACGCTGATGACGTCCCTGAACCACGTCAGCCGAGTGGGCCAGAGAGAACTCCTCAAAGACGAAGAGGGAGAAGGGCAAGGCTTACAGAGACCTTGCTGAAATGAAAGAAAAGCTTGCCCATGCCCTTAGAAAAGCAGAAAAATATAAGAAGAGGTCTGATCGACTTACGAGAAAAATGGAGCTAATTGAATCTCCTAAACGGAGAACTAAGAAACAGATAAAGTTGTTAAACCCACCTTAGCAGAGAGAGAAACATGCCTGTGTAAGCTCCATTGAAACATGCAGTTCATGGCCAATAGGCTGTTCTTTCATAAAATCATCAAGACCTCTAAACTTACCGATCTAATTAATTCAGTTTCTTGTGATGATGTCACTAAGGAATGCATGTACAGGGAGTGCCTGGATTGCAAAGACAAAAAACTTGAAACATCTGCCTTTGATGATGGGGAACAGACGTGGTGGTTCCAATGGAGAAGCATCGTGGAAGACAGGGAGAAAAAGAAAAAAGATGGGTCCAAAGAAGTGATTAAATTGCACTACACAGCAAAGGAAAAAGTGCATGGGCCTATGCATAAACTGTTCGAAGACTTTTCAGACCAACTCACCAAAAAGATGGGAAAGCACATCCAAAACATAAATACCTTTCTTTGAAAGGGTTAAAAGAAAACATCAAGGAAGACAGTATTGTTTTACAGATAGACTTTGCAGAAAATTATATCTGCAAGTATGCAGAGGAGATCCAGGCCACCTATTATGGTGATTCACACAAGCAGACAACTCTTCATACTGGTGTTGCTCACTCGAAGAATGGCGTGGTGTCCATTTGCACCATCAGTGAATGCATGCGCCACGACCCATCCGCAATCAGGGCCCATTTGAATAAAAGTGCTTCCCTATCTAAAAGAATTGAACACAGCAGCAACCACCCTGCATGTTATAAGCGATGGCCCAACCACCCAATATAGATCCAAATAGAACTTTTTCTTTTTGAGCAAAATTCCTTATGAGATGGGATTCCAGAAGGTAACATGGAACTTTTTGGATCCTGGACATGGAAAGGGTCCAGCTGATGGAGTTGGTGCTGCAATCAAGCGTCAGGCTGATGCAATTGTGGCCCAGGGCATTGACATCCCAAACGGCAAGGTGTTGTATGAAAAACTTAGGGACCAGCCCTCATCTGTTCAGCTTATGTACGTCACTGAGGAGGAAATTGAAAGGATGGACAGTGTCCTGCCTGAGGACCTGATCACCATCAAAGGAACAATGCAAATTCATCAGGTATCTCACTCACTCACACCATCATCATCATAATCATGAGAGTTAAGCAATTAAACATTTTTCTTTTAGATTGTGTCTACAAGACCGGGAGACATATCTTGGTGGTTCTTAAGCTGCTTCTGGTCAGAGCCCCAAATCTGCCAGTGTTTTGGTCTGCAACATGTGGAACGGCCCGGAGCACAGAGAGCACAGAGGCCTGAGTCGGCTTTGGGCCCATCAATCCCAACTCTCAAATCTCAAGACATCACTCTTCTACATGAGGGACTGATTGGAAGCTGGTGTGTGGTCCGCTATGATGCGAGTCCTTTCGCAGGCCTAATCCAAGATGTGAACTCAGAAAATGGAGCCTTGGTGAAAACCATGAGCCAGATAGGCAAGAACAGGTGGTACTGGCCTATGAATGATGACATAATTTGGTATCAGCCTGAGGACGTTGTAAGGTTGGTCCCAGAGCCTCAGCCAGTGACGAAACGTCACATGATGTTGGATCCATTAGTGTGGGAGGAAGTACTCACCGAACTTGACTGTGAGTGAACCTTGGCTAATATACGGGTGATTTTAAATTCAAACAGAAAGTATGAATTATAACCCAAATCAATCAGATCTAATATAAATAGTTTCTTGTATTTCTTTTCAATTTGGCATATTTTAAACATGTTGAACACTTGTCCCTTGGGTTGACCTGTTCATCTGTGAGTGAACCTTGGCCCATATACACTGCTCTGGTTCAGGGAGTGGTGAAACATGTCACATTTTGACAGAAATTATCATTTTGATTTTTTATGAAAACATGAGAATGATTGTGTTTATGATATTGTTTTTGTTTCAAATAATTTGTTACACATGGAATGAGTTATGTTTTTTATTAAGTGCTGTTAGGCCAGTTGTTCATCAATACACTATCCCTGTTTGAAATA